AAACCATCTAAAATTTTTTTTAATTTCCTACATAAACAAATGCCCTAGGGCAAAAATCCATGTGCTAAGAAATACAGCTTACACAGAAAATTCATGACTGAAGTATGATGGTGCATACCTGTAATCTCAACAATACCCAGGCTGAAGCAGGAGGATTATGAATCATGGAGACATTGTCATGCCCCAAAAAAGGGGAAGGGACAAAATCAAGTTAATGACTGAATTAAGTTGTAAATGTAATTTAAGTTATGAATTAAGCAGTAAATCTCTGCTACCTATACTCTCAAAGCAATAAAATTAACAATAAGCAAAGTATACTCATTGAAACAATGTAAAAAGATTAAATTTGACTCAACTAAGCAGAAAACATTCCTGACAATTACAAATTCTGAAGTACTAAAAGTAACCTATTACCACAGCACAGAATCCCACACCTCATGTCCTACAATATGGAGGTTGAAGCAAGAGGAACTCAATTCTGAGACCAGTCTGTACTATATAAATACTGGGGGAGGAGCAGACACACACTCAATCCATGAAAGTCTACAGAACTCAATGAACTAAAATTAATGAAAAGTCTGCCAGGCAGTGGTGGCTGGCACATGCCTTTAATCCCAGCACTCCAGAGGCAGAGGCAGAGGCAGGTATATCTTTGCAAGTTGGTCTACAGAGAAACCTGTCTCAAAAAAAAAAAAAAAGGAAGAAAGTCAGTTTGCATATAACATGGAAGTAATGACAAAAGCACACTCAGTCAAGTCACTACCACAGTTTAAAATTAGTCTCCTCCAGACTTAAAATGCAAAAACAGCCGGGCGGTGGTGGCGCACGCCTTTAATCCCAGCACTCGGGAGGCAGAGCCAGGCGGATCTCTGTGAGTTCGAGGCCAGCCTGGTCTACAGCGCGAGATCCAGGAAAGGCGCAAAGCTACACAGAGAAACCCTGTCTCGAAAAACCAAAAAAAAAAAAAAAAAAAAAAAAAAATGCAAAAACAATAGCCATCAGGACACTGGAATGTTGATCCAAACAAAGCTGTGTGGTTCTAAACTGTCAGAGCAGTTTGTGAAAAGAGGAAGACCTCAAGACCTCCAGCTCCCTGAAGTCCCTTCTCTCCAATGCCATTCCTTCAACCTAGAAAGCTGCTCATTTATCATGTATTATTACTACAGACTAGCTCTGTTCTCACTCCCACCCCCATCCTCACAGTCAGCCAATGCTCTTCAGAGAGGAACGACAGACACCATCTTACCCAGATATATGCCTCCAATGACCTACACAACCCTATGTGTGTCATGCCTACCTCTTATCCACCTCTGAATCTATCACTTAACCACCATGTCCTTTGAGTTCATCACACAGCCCCAAACCACTCCCCCCTCCTCTTCATCCTAGCTTCTGCCCAAATGTCATTTCCTCAAAGTTGAAGTGGCTTCTGGTCCCTGGCTGCCTAGACTCAACCTAGCAGATAGCATGTTGTTTGCTACATCCCCATTTCATCTCAAAATGGTGATAAGAACAGCATCCACCTTACAGTGGGTCACAACATAGAAATGCATGCAAACAGCAAGCAATGACTGGCAGTGTACAAAAGTCATCTTATTAGTATTAAAGTTTTTGCCCTGCTTATCTGAAATTACCTTCTTGATGGCGCTCTTCAAAACTCCATAGATTTTTTTCTTCATTTTTATTTATTTTTTTCTATTATCAGCTTGATACAGTACAAATTCTTTTTTCCCCCTTTTCTATTTTAATAAAAAGAAAAAAGGAAAAAAGCTATAACTAATATAAGAAAAACTATATACAAAAGTACAATAACTATATACCACATATACAAACAATAAATACCTAAACAGTGTCTAGTCCATTTGTATTTGACAAATTCAGAGAAAATAATTCCATTATCTATCCTATTTTGGTAAGTGCAAAATGTACCTGATTTCACTTTCTATCCTAACTTATATTACTAACAGAACTATCTTAAAACGTCTTTCAAATTTATACACTTACACCTCTTTCACTTAGTGAGTTTCTTTTCTGAAATTCTTAACAAAGAAAACTATAACTATCTAATCTTCAACTATAACTAACTAATCTTCAACTCCCTCAGAGACCCAAGAAGGAAATAATATTACCTAATAAAAAATAAAAACAGGCCGGGCGGTGGTGGCGCACGCCTTTAATCCCAGCACTTGGGAGGCAGAGGCAGGTGGATCTTTGTGAGTTCAAGGCCAGCCTGGTCTAGATGAGCGAGATCCAGGAAAGGTGCAAAGCTGCACAGAGAAACCCTGTCTCGAAAAACCTAAAAAAAAATAAATAAATAAAAAAATAAAAACAGGAAGTGCATGCAAGCAGCTTCCAGAAAAAATGTGAGTTGACAGAAACAGCAAGCTGCCTGGACAGTCACCTGAGGTTTCTCCACAGTGCTGGGGCATCATCTTCAACCTATAGTCTTAGCGTATCTGACAGACTCATTTGTGAAATTGGATGTACACAAGGTCAACAGTTCGACCTCACATTTGGTGAGAGCAGTGCATGTACCAGAAACACATGAATTCCATTTGTGTCATGTCATGATTCAGGATTTTAAATTCTGATAATTGTTGATCAAAACTCCATAGATTTTAAGCTTCACAGACTATTACCATCATGTACAAAGCTCTCTCATCATCTTCTAAGGAATACAAATACATATTGAATACCTAAATAATTATATCCAGAAATTATTTTCAAATAATAATATCTCAATTCAAAAAAAACTAAGTGAAAAGTCATACTTCACAATCACTGACTTGATCTGGGTTCTTACTGACAAACTTTTTTTTTTTCGTTTTTCGAGACAGGGTTTCTCTGTGTAGCTTTGCGCCTTTCCTGGGACTCGCTTGGTAGCCCAGGCTGGCCTCGAACTCACAGAGATCCACCTGGCTCTGCCTCCCGAGTGCTGGGATTAAAGGCGTGCGCCACCACCGCCCGGCCGACAAACATCTATTATGTCAAGCCAGTTCATCCCATCATTAACTGTTGTTTTCCTTCAAACACAGCACACAATGGAAGAGACTGGCAAAGTGATATAAGATTAGATAAACTATGTGGCTATCCCTAATTATTTACATACCTACCACAAATCCAAACTATAGTAGAGCAAAGACCCTTGGCCATTATGAAAGACCCTGAAACAGGAAAATAATGAAATGCATGCTTATTCAATTAAAAATGCTTTTTCTATATGCACATGTAATATGCACACAGACGAATGTATGTTTATATGCAGAGAGAAAGCTATCCTAAATAGTAGGGCCATTCTTTTTCAACTCCTTTCTGGTTTTTGGGTTTTTTTTTGGGGGGGGGGTGTTTTTGTTTTTGTTTTGGTTTGGTTTGGTTTTTGGTTTTTTGGTTTTTCCAGATAGGGTTTCTGTGGAACCCTGGCTGTCTTGGAACTCACTCTGTAGACCAGGCTGGCCTTGAACTCAGAGATCCACCTGCCTCTGCCTCAAGAATGCTAGGATTAAAGGCATCTAGGATTAAAGGCATGAGCCATCACAGAACAGCAAAAGCACTACTTTTTAGAAAGAATCTTAAACTAGCAGAAGTTGACAATGGGTTTCAATATTTTATACCCCGTATCTGGGCCAGGGAGATGTTTCAGAGGATAAATTAAAGGTGCTTATGACCATGCCTGACAACTGGAGTTTGATCCCCAGGTACCACACATAGTTGAGATTCAACTCTTCAAAGTTGTTACTTGACATCCACAGGTGTCAGGGTTCTACACACCCAAATCCAAACACTTACAGAATAATAAAAACTTTTTTTTCTTTTTCAATTTTTACCTTCCAGTTTTCAAGTCTTTTTGCCTCCCAAGAAAAGATTTTTACGTAGATACCCACATCTTATGAAATCCTATAAATACAGTCAGATTATATTCAATTTTGAATGAAGACAATCCTGTTGTAAAATACCTCCACACTAGCAATGACTGCCAGTTTTCCTAGATGCCATCAAATGGGTGGGAAATCCTCTAGGCTGCGACTAGGGCCAATAAGAGTTAACCACCACCACCATCACCTAGCTGAGGGATATCCCATCCCTTGCAAAATAAAAACAGACAGTATTTCGGGATTTTATTAAAGGCAATTCTGTTGTTCTCCATAGTGTCAAAGACACCACACACAGATTTCTTGCGCAAAAGGAAGAACGAAACAACCAATGTGAGTAAAGATATTGAAGAACTCTGGTCCGGCAAACCCAGAGAGGGAGGAAAGAGGAACACTCCCCTCAGAGCACCTAGCTCTCCGCGAAAGGCTTCTCCAGCAGCGGCCGCCCAACTGGGCTGCACGTCCAGAATGGAGGTGGCTGGAGCTGGCACATTTTTAATATCACCAGCTGATGGATTCAATCCGGAGCACCACGCGGGACCCGCCCGCGCACACGCCCACTGCCGGCTGCAGAGAGCGACCTAGGCGCAGCCGCAGAACGCAAGTAACGCTCGACCCAAGCAGAAAGTTTCGAATGAAAAACCCGAGAGCCGAAACGCACTGGTCTCAGAGCTGAAGTCGCCAGGAACACACCCGAGTCCAAACCACTTGACAAGCAGCTCGGGCTTTCAGCTGGATGGCCCAGGAGGGGCAGGGAGGAGGCAGAGGCGGCAGTGCACTGGCTCCCTCAGCCCAGGTGTCGCCTCCCTCCCTTGCTCACAATCTGACCGATGAGGGGCAGGGACCAGGGTGCGGATCGCAGGTGTGGTTAAGGGTCGCGAGGTGCGGGGTGGAGTGCAGAGCTCGGGCCGCTCTCAGGCCGCTGGGCCAGGTCGCAGCTCCGGAACCCGCGGCCGCGCGCCCCTCCCCCACCCCTCCCCCGCCGGGGCACGCAGAGCGGGCGCCGCGTCCCGGGAGACCCACAGCCCGCGTCCCGGGGACCAGGAAGCTCTGCCTGCGCGGTCGCAAGCAACCCTCAGCGGGGCGGGGCGGGGCGGGGCGGGGTCGGGCCCGAGCGCCGCGCGGACTCACTTTTTCGGATGTTTCTCTCTTTTCGGCCTCCGCTTTCGGGCCTGAATGGCCAGCACTGAGGAGAGAGAAGACACATTAACGGTCGGGCGGACCGCCTGCGGGCCGCGAGGCGGAGTAGGGACCGCGCGCGCCGCTCACCTTTCCTGGAGCTCATTCCGACTCTAGGCAGCCCGGCGGGGCGGGGGGGAAGGGGGGGTGCTCCGCGGCGGAGGCGGCGGCGACGCGACAACCAGCCGCACCGGGATGCAGCCTCCACTCGTTCGCCGGCCGAGGAGGCGGGAACCGCGCCTGCGCCGCCGCGGCCGCGGCCGCTCCCGCGGGGGCCAATGGGACCCGCCCCCGCGGCCCCGCCCCGCGGCCCCGCCCCCTCCTCACCTCCCGCGTGTAGTGGTCCGGACCCCGGCCGCGCCCTTTTGGGCGCAGCGCCCGCTCCGCAGCCCACCTGGCAGAAAGGTGGCAGCGCACCCACGGCCTTCCGCGCCCAGCCTCCTACAGCCTGCCTCTGCCTTCTTTGCCCTACAGCCGCCGCAGGCCTCCCGCTCCTGGGCACCAGGCCCAGCCGCGCGACCCTTCTTCCCAGCCACCGCCTGGCTCCGCACCCGGGCCGGTCGTGCTGCATGCCTCTCCAGGAGCCCTTCCTTGACCAGCGCCCTCACGGGTCTCTCTTCCCGCACCACCTCTCTTCCCGCGGCCTCTTCTCTCCTTTTGCGCCTTTGCATTCCCATGAGCGTGGCCTTCTCCTCTCCGGCAAGCGTGGAAAAGGCACAACACCAAGAGCTGGAGAACCTGGGTCCTTGAGTGTGTGACCTTGGAGAAGTGATTTCCTCTCTCTCTCCCCTTTTCCTACTCCTCCAAGACTGCATGAGTTTAGTGAATGAAAAGATGCACATAGCTTGAAAGGAAAGTTTGGCGCATGAAGCCCAGTTTTCTAGATACCATGAGATGAGAACTTAAAACTAGAATCATGTAAAGCAGTTCTTTTTCTTCCTCCTACAATGTAGAAACTGAACCCTAAATAGGTCAAACAGTTCTATCAGTCCTTATCCCTATTCAGGCCTGGCTGGTTTCTCTTTCCATCTTCCCAGGCTGCCTAAGATGTGAATCAAGCTGACTGGCACATAGTTATCACTTCAGTGTTCTCTTGTCTCTTTAAACAATTACAATATCTTTGGAAGATACACGTCCTGAGCATTGAGTCCTTCTTTGGTTACAACTGTATCATCATTTAAGTCTTACTCTAAAGATGTCCCAACAAACAAGGCCACTTTGAATTTGAAGAGATTTTACTTTTTCCATTTTTTATTTTAAAAAATATCAAACATGCTGTGATCAGCACTATTAACCCACATTCATTAGTTTTTTGTTGTTGTTGTTGTTCTCTATGTGTGTGCATGGTTTATTTTGCAGAATCATTCAGTAGTTTGTAGACACTGTTACTCTCAACCCCTAAACATTTCATTGCCTATCTGCTAGAGGATCAAAGATATTTTTCTACATAACCAGAATGTCCTTATCACTCCCAAGAAAATTCAATACTGTCTATGTATAATTTACAAGGCATTGTTCCCTTTTCTGAAATATTCCAATAAAATCTATTTGATGACATTTTTTCCAATCCAAGATCATTAGTTGCTGTTAGCACTCTTGCCTTTGCTTTAAACTATGTTTAGAGTAATCGGTGGGGCCCTACCCAGGTTCTTTCCCAGATACCAGAAAAAGAAAAATCCCTGTTTGAGACTTTTTTTGAGACTAGTTTCATGGTGTCTGTAAGGCTGGTCTTGAGTTTACAATATCTAACTGCACATTTGCACAAGGCCTTGGCTCCTCAAGTACAAGGAAGACAGTCATGAACCATAAATAGTGACTGTTTTGAAGACTAGTTCTTTTTTGCAGAATGTTTCTCAGTTTGGTTTTTGTTTGCCTAGTACGACAGTCAAATTCAATAATTTATCAAGTGCACTATATAAATGGTGTATGTCTGTCTCAGTGCATCAAGCTAAGTTTTCATCCATTCAATCATTTCTCCAGGAAAAAAGATAACTTTTCCCTTTGTATTAAAAAATAGCCGGGCGGTGGTGGCGCACGCCTTTAATCCCAGCACTCGGGAGGCAGAGCCAGGTGGATCTCTGTGAGTTCGAGGCCAGCCTGGGCTACCAAGTGAGTTCCAGGAGAGGCGCAAAGCTACACAGAGAAACCCTGTCTCGAAAAACCAAAAAAAAAAAAAAATAGTCTATATTTTAAAGGGGGAGTGGTAAAGGACTTGCATAGACATTTCTTCAAAGACATGGAACTGGCCAACAAGTATGTAACAAGATGTTCAAAATCATTAATCATTATGGACTTACAAAGCAAAATAAAAGGAGATCCCACTTGACACCTGGCATGACCACATTATTTAAAATAGAAAATACAAAGTCGCCGGGCAGTGGTGGCGCACGCCTTTAGTTCCAGCACTTGGGAGGCAGAGCCAGGCCGATCTCTGTGAGTTCGAGGCCAGCCTGGTCTACAGAGTGAGTTCCAGGAAAGGCGCAAAGCTACAGAGAAACCCTGTCTCGAAAAAACCAGAAAGAAAGAAAGAAAGACAAGACAAGACAAGACCAAGTCAAGCACAGTGGTGCACACCTTTGATTGAAGCACTAAGGAGACTGAAGTAGGAGTGATGCCTTAACAGCCCAGGCTGCATAGAACATACCAGGATAGCCTCAGCTACATAGCATGATCCTAACTCAAAAAAAAAAAAAAAAAGAAGAAGAAGAAAGTGGGGAGGGGAGCTAGGAATATAGCTTAGAAGTAGAATGTTTATCACAGTGCCCTCCCCAGGTTCACTTCTCAGCTACCAGAAAGAGAAAAGAAAAGAGAAGAGGAAAGAAAGGAGAGGAAAGAAACACCCCCCCCACCCCCCCCCACCCCCGCCGCCAGAGACACTTCCTCCAATACAACCTCCTAATCTTCTAATCCTTTCAAAGAGTTCCACTCCCCAGTGGCTATGTATATGAGCCTATGGGGACCATTCTTATTCAAACCACCACAATCCACTCCCTGCCCCCATGGGCTTGTAACCATATTATAACACAAGAATGTATTCAATCCTTCAAAAGTCCCTATAGTCTATCATGATCTCAACACTGTTTATACATCCGAAGTCTTCTGAGATTCATGACAATTTCATAACCCCCTACAAAATCAGAATGAAAAAGCAAATTACTTACAACATACAGTGACACAGTTCTAAAGGCAAAGAAAGGGAACATAGTGAGGAAATACTGGGTCAAAGCAAGACTGAAACCCAATAGAGCAAACTCCAAACTCTGATGCCAAATCACTCTTGAGAGCTCCAACTCCTTTTAGCTTTGTTGACTGCAACACACTTCTCTCTCTTGGGCTGGCCTACACCTGGTCTACATCTATTCTTGGCAGGTATCCCACAACTCTGGCATCTCTAAAATCTTGGCGTCTCCAATGAAATCTAGGCTTCACCTTCACAGCTTCAACCAATGGCCTTTCCAGGCCTCCATGCAAGGGCTCTTCTGACATACACCTGGTCTCAGCAGCTTTCCTTAGCCCCAAAGGGAGAGTCTAAAAACCCTTTTTTTGTATCCTTGACTCTAAAGCCAGAACCATGTGAACAAAACTGCTAGATTAATCTGTTTGCTGGAACTGGAACCTGGCCCCCTTCTTCAATTACATTTGCCTCAGCTTTCTGTTGTTGATAGTTTCCTTCACTGCTTAAGCTTTTCTTTCATTCCTTTTCACAAGCTGGAAGCTTAGCTGGGTGGAGTCCTGCCCTGAAATCACTGGGGCGGGGGGGGGGGGGGGGGGGGGGGGGGGGGGGGGGGGGGGGGGTGGGGTGGGGGGGCAAAACAGCTTGACCACACAGTTGCCATGACAGGCTTAGAAGCCCACTGCTTCTGGCAGGCAAACCCTGGACCCAGGAAAAGCCATAAGCTGACCCCACCCAAGGAGGTCCTGCATCTAAGAGGAAATACCTGACATTCCAAACATTCCCTATACCTAGACAAATGTCAGCCAACCAGGGTCCTGAATCCTGGAAATCCCCTCACCCCAACCTCTGCTATGTGATAAAAACCCCACCCTGCCTGGGCTCTGGGCTCTCTGTTCTCACTACTGTATCAGACAGGGAGTCCAAGCTCCGAGCTTGAAAATAAAGGCTCTTTGCTTTTACATATGGGATTCGATCTCTGTGGTGGTCTTTTGGGGGTCCCCGAAATCTGGGCATAACAATCACTACTCCCTTTATTCCATTTAGCATCAAGCTTTTCTTTAAACTTCTTATCTCCTTGAGTACAAGATTTGGCTGCAATATCACCTTTCCTGGTCCTCCTTTCTCATCAAATTGTACATTTTTTATTTCTCTTTGTCCAGCTTATCTTTTCATTATAGACCTGCATAAGAATGACCACAAATAACCACATGACTGCTGTGGGATACCTTTCTGTACACTGTGAACATGTGTTGCTCTGATTGGTTGATAAATAAAGTCGTTTGGCCTATGCAAGTCAGATTACTGCTAAGTGGGAAATTGAGGAGACAGGAAGAAGAGAAGCAGAGGAGAGCAAGATGCCAGCACTGCCAGGAGAAGTGAGATGTGAAAGTACCAGTGAGCCATGTGCAACTTATAGATGAATAGAAATGGGTTAATTTAAGTTATAAGAGCTAGCTAGCAAGAAGCCTGCCATAGGCCATGTAGTTGGTGATTAATATTAAGCCTCTGAATGATTTTATAATTTATATAAGCCTCTTTATAATTTTATATGCATCAGTGGGACCTTGGACCAGAGAAACCTTCTGACTACTAGATTGTCTTGAAATCTCTTCTGCCAATCCCATTAATTTAGCCTCAGGCATGATTTTAGGACAAGGGCAAAAGCAGCTATATCCTTTACCAAAATATCACAAGAATGGTGTCTAGGCCACTCACTAACATTCTTCCCTTCAGAAACCTCTGGAATTAAGCTGTTAAAATTTACATTGCTCCCAGCACTACTGTCTTTCATGCTCCTTCTAGAATGACCTATTAAACCCTGCTTAAGTGGTCAACTGCTTTTCTAGTCCAAAGTCCCAAAGTCTTCCATATTCCTCCAAACAAAACCATGGACAGGCCCTATCACAGCTGATATTAAACTCCTGCTCTTCTAGCCTCTGCCTCCCAGTGGCTGGAATTATAGGCATGCACCAACACCACCTAGCTTTTATTTATTTTTTGATGCTTAAACTGTGTCAAATTTGGCCAGGTAAACCCTGTAGCCTTGTAGTGTTCTTTGGACATTATTTGTTTGGTTACTTAGCACCTCTTTCTGGCTTGCCCTAATGCGATCTCAGAAACAGGCATATCTCTACTCTTACATTTTCCTAGTAGATGATTAGAAGCTTGAAATAAACAAGATCTGAATTTGAAAATAGTTTCTTTTATTATTTTAATTATTTTATTAACAATTTATATGACTTTTTTTTTCTTTTTTTGGTGGTGGTGGTGGGGTTTGAGACAGGGTTTCTCTATGTAGTTTTGGTGCCTGTCCTGGATCTCGCTCTATAGACCAGGCTGGCCTCAAACTCACAGTGATCCACCTGGCTCTGCCTCCTGAGTGCTGGTACTAAAGG